CAACTACATCATATTAGTCCTTCGTTAAAATTATATGCTAGCAGAAACACTTGTTCATATATTTGCTTAGGTAAATTTGATTTCTGGAATTTAAATGTAAATCCTTTGGGTAGATGCTTGCTAGCATGGCATAGTTCATCGAATCAGCTGATGAGCTGAATTGAGGTATGCAGAAAGTAGGTTCATCTTGAGTTCACAGCTGCAGAACTGCAGAATGAAAAACCATAGTTTCATCAGCCGATACTAAACATCTCTGTTGCCCACTAACTAGCATGAATCAGATCACTGGAGGAGAGTTCCAAGAAGGTCCAGGATATGGTAAACAGTCTCTAATTAACAATTGGTCTTAATTGATTCTTTGCAATACATTGAGAAGAAGTCTTACCTCACTTCTTAGGAGTATGAGGATGATGGATTATGATGTTTTGGAACTAAGAAGCAAGTTGCAAACATTCATTACTTCATTATTTATTATTTTTATTGTTCAACATTTTATCAGCAGTCATTACTTTTCTCTGATTGTAACTGAATAGATCATTGTAATTTATACATGAATATAACTTCCATATCCATGTACAATACTGGACTATTTGCTGAGTAAGTAGCTTGATATCATTATTTCTTATTTATGAAGTATAGAGATATTTAATAGTCATCCACCATATTTCATTCATCAATGGGGTAATAGTACAGAATGCATACACTACAATATGTTATTGAATCGCTGCTCTTACTCCCCTTCCAAAGGGGCTTACGCCAGTGTTCCCAGTTAAGAACTTCCCTGCACATTTAATTCCATCTAATACAGAAAGTAATTTTGGCTGTATAGAAGAGCTGTCTATATGGCAATATCTGGAAATGGTTTGGGTTGCCACAATTGGGGTTGTTGTGGGTTCTGAGGATTATGTTAAGGATTGTTAAGGATTCAGAGGTTACTGATAAACATCTTTCAACACAGAGAACAGCCCTATCCTAATGAAGAAGTTTGCAAGCCATGTGTCAGCAGTGCCCAAATCTATACAAATTGCTAAGACATGCATGTCTGGCTAAAATACAAGAGACAAAGAAGAGTGATAAAAGAAGGATATAAGAAGAAAGATAATGGAGGAATAAAATAAATATGAGAAATTAGATGGCCACAAAAAAGCACCAAATAAATGAATTGGTTGAAATCCTGTTTTTTTTTTTTGTCCTGGTTTGAGCTTTGTATGAGCGGCACTGGCTGCACAGTTGCACAGCTGTGTCATTGCAGAATTTCACTGGAGGGGCAGGGGATCGTGGGAAAATTGATGACTTTTACAATGTGTATGGACATTTTGTTGAAACGTTTACTTACTCCAGTGAGCAAGAGTGAAATGATGCTAATAGTCAAGCACATAAATTGTACATACGAATCTAAGCAAAGTGTCTAAAAAAACAGAACGCAATTTGACAGATTGATAGGAAAATTAATTGCAGGTTCAAGATTGTGCAGCCATATAGATTGGTTTTATGAAATAGTCTATCAGCCTAGATGTTCTAGAAAATGCAGACGGTGCTAGTTCGTTTTGTCAACTCCACTGGACTGTGCTGCCTGGTTATTTGTTTAAACACTAGTCTTGACGTCGTTGTGAGAGCACTTTGTGGATGTGATTCACATTTCCACTCAGTGGACTTCGAGTAAAGGAGATTGTCTTGATAATGGGGGTATGACTCAACCGGACAGACAAAGGCTCTGAGAGCAAAACAAATTCTCAGGTAAGAAAAATTTCTGCCTCTAATGGCTGCAGAAACCCTGCCTGGGTCTCCAGCCTTCCAGCACCCTCTAATCACACTAATTACTTAAAAAAAAACCTCTGATGCACACAAATTCTAGGCAGACTGATAAACACACACACACACACACACACACACACACAAATAGAGAGTGAAATATCCCCGCTGAAATTTTTTTACTAAGAAAATAGCTCTGATTTGGGTTTATGTCATATATTAGTTTCTAAAACAACATATTATAGACTAGGTAGTTCAAACCACAGGTACTTATTTTAGGCTCAAGGTACTAGAAAATTCAGGAGGAACATCTTTCCTGGCAAAGGCTAGAAAGAAGTAAACAACTCTCTCAATGGAATACCAATCTGAACAGGGTTGCTCCATCTTCATAAACAAATGATATCTCAAGGATCCCATTTTCAAATGTTCTCAATGGGCATTGGTATTTGAAAAAATAATTTACGGGACACAAACATCTCATTCAGAGGATGTGATAACAGAATATCCCATACCAAATCTAGGGTAAGAACCAAACAGGAAGAGCTAATTGAGCAGATTCTAATGCCACCAGACAATAAGGTGTTAACAAGGCAGAACAAAGTGTTCAAGTATTCTGATGTAAGAATGCACATTCCCAGAACAAGGTTTTTGCTTGTGGTGTCTGTGATGAGGGGTGATAGAAGAGAGATTCTGAGCTCAAATACTTTAAAATGGGTCTTTCCAGACAGAGAACTAATTGGGATTGGAATCACTATAGAATAATTTAGAACTGGTATGGATAGCAAAGAGCTGATACTGACAAAGATTTTGATACATAAACTTTTAGTTCATTAGGAAGTTGTTTATCCACATTGTCAAGAAACCAATCTATAGGAATTTCCTGGTAAAGGGACTTTTGGGGGGCTTAATCTTACTTTTGTAAGCATAAGTTCTCTGCCATGAACAACCAAGACATATTGACACTGGTGGTCTAAAGCATCATGTGGAGACAGATAACCTGACTTGTCCCTTGCTTTCCTCCCATTCTTTGCTTAGAACAGAAGAAAAGGGGAACCGTAGGTGGAAGGCAAGCAAAGTGAGGAAACTTTAAAAAGGAAAACCCAAATCAAGTTCCTCCCACCTATCCCTAGACTGTGGAAGCTCCTGACAGGCCAGAACTAGGGGGGTGGTTGGTATGGTGGTTTAGATCGCACTTCTACTGTTTATAAAATAAAAATCATTCTTATTATTTTAAGGTTATCATAAATCTTCCCTTTGCATTATTCAGGGATTCACAGTACAGAAAGAGCTTTAGTATCAAGTATAAAGTTCATTGATATAAGAAAATAAAGGCGTTTTCTAATTTTGCTCTACTGACATTATCCTGCTTAATTGTGCCATCAGGTAAAATCAGTTATAACTACTTAATACGTCTACATTCTCATTAATTTTTAGTTATGATGTTAGATGTTCATTTAATTAGTCCAGTATAGGATCAGACAAGTACTTGAACTTGATCAATGAAAAGACAATGGATTACACTTAATTTGATTCTTATATAATTCCTTGTTGTTATTTATTATGTCACCATCACTTATACATGATGTGTCTTACTCAGAAGCATTAGTATTGTGAATGTGAGAGCTCTACATGTTTTGTCATTTCCCCTGCTATAGAGAACATTTGATTGATTGACTGCGCTAACAACCAGTTTTTCCATTGCCCATCCTGTTTGTGCCAAGGTGAAAGTTTGTTCTTGGTTAGCTAATGAGCTTGGTAGAACACTAGTGCCTATTTTTTAAATGGCATGGGACTACTTTACAGGGGACTTGCAAAACGTTTTACAAGATTCTTCTACAGCTGGGCATTGGTGGCTCATTCCTGTAATCCTCACTACTCAGGAGGCTGAGATCTAAGGCTCAAGGTTAGAGCCAGCTGGGTCAGGAATGTCTGTGTAACTCCTATCTCCAACAAACTACTCAGGAAAATATGGAAGTAGAGCTGTGGCTCAAGTGGTAGAGTGTTAGCCTTGAGCAAAAGAAGTTCAGGGATAGAACCTAGGCTCTGAGTTCAAGCCCATACACACAAAAAGTAAATACAAGTTCTCTTCTAACAAGCCAGGCATGCTGGAACTGGCTTCAAATTCCAGCTACTGGAGAAGCTAAAGCAGAATGATATCAAGATCAAAGCCAACCTAGGAAACAATGGGACTCTGTCTCAAAATAAGATAAGAAAAAGAAGGCTGAGTCTGTAACTTAGTGGCAGAACTGAAAAAAAAATTAACACAACTTTCTTTCCTCTTGACAGAGGAAAGATCAAACACACATCACAGCAAGATGGATGACCTCTAGTTAAATAATCTCTCCTACTACCTTCCCTTTCTCCCCACTGCTATTTTCCCAAACACATGCCCTCCTTGCTAATCCCAGGTACAGCCTTCTTTCTAAAAATTCCAAATGACAACATGTCGGTACGATTTATTTATTTTATTATGTATTTTATTATTATTGCACTTCTTCCTCATTGTGATAATGAGTTATCTACCATTTTCTCAGATTCCTTCTGCAGCCCCTCCTTTTGTGTCCTCTGAATCTCATGTTCTTATCCTCAATATTGACTTCAATGCTAGTAAGTACAATTTGGTTTGTATGTACTTTTTAAAGGCAGAGAATTTGTGTCTTTGTTCAGTACAAATCCTCCATAGAATAAAGGCCCAATAAATACTTTTTTGGTGACTATTCTCCTAATAACAAAATTTCTGAAGTGATATTATGAACCAATGTACTCACAAAGGCAAATAAATCTCTTAGAGATATGTCATGTATTATGTCATATATTTGAATTTTTTGAAGTCCTTATTTTTTTGTCTAACAAAATTAATTTATGGCATATATGAAATAGGAAGAGACAACTTGAAGACAACCTGTCCTGGATTGTATGCGATACATACACTGTATTTTTAAAAAACAAGCAGAATACCAGAATTCATGCTGGAGAGAAAAGTTTATTTGAAACACGAGTAAAAGAATTCTAGGAACATAATGAGAGAAGTTTTAAAAAGAAGGCACTAGAAATGACTCTAAGCAGGAGAATAAGAATGGAAATTGAAGCTAAATCTCACATCAGAAGGAGAAAAGTTCATAGGCCAATTTCTTAGTCCCTCGAAGACCATCATTTACTTCTAAAACCGTGATCCGCATATGGCCAACTTATCACAGAAGGTTCAAGTTTCTGAAGGTGCCAAAGAAATCACGAGAGGATGGTTACGTCTAGTAAGTTGATCCGAAAAAGCGAGAGCCACAGGTTGGCTGGTAGTAAGACGACTGGTAGCTCTTCGAAGAGAAGAATGTGGGGCGGGAGTAGCTGGAACCACATCCAAGAGACTGGAATCCAGCGTTTCCATAGCCAAAAGATCCAAAGCCGGAGTTGCAATATCCAGAAGATCCAAAGCCAGAGTTGCCGCATCCGAAAGATCCAGCGTAAGGTGTATGGCAGGGCCTGGAGAAGATGAAGTTCTTGGGGCGGAAGCAGGAGGTGGCGTCCACCCCTGAGGTCTCGAAGTCAGTGGGGTCGGAGAAGCTCTCTTGTTGGCCACCAAAGAAGGAGGAGCCCAGCTGCTGGGGTCTCTGGGCGTAGATTATATTGCTGGGGTAGAAGGAGTTACAGTTGGACCCTGGGCATCTCAGGTAAGCGCCAGCGGACTGGGAGGAGAAGTTTCCGGAGTTGCAGGCGTAAGACATGTTGTCAGGAGTTGGGTTTCCAGTCGAGTTGCAGTGAGGAGCTGGAGTATGAATGCTGCTGTCTGCTCTGGCTTCTTATATAGCCCAGATGTGGCTGTAGTAAGTAGCATGTGACCATTTTAAAAGAATGCCTAATTAGGCTCCAGTAAAAATGAAATAATTTAACCTTCAAAGCTCTTCTTTATGAATGAAGACTTCTAAGTGAAGGAATTTCATTAGGCTTTTTTGTTTTTTGTAAAGCAATTGTTCATGAAACAAAAATGCAAATTTCTCATTCATGTACCTTGAGTAGAATGAAAATCAGCGTCATTATGTCTCTAAGATGGGTGCTTCATTCATGCTGACCTTCAGGATAATAGGTCAAATGAACAACATTGGTAAAGCTGGAAAACAATGATAATGTTCTAAGTAAAAGAATACAATTGAGAGAGAAGAGAAAAAAGAGATTGCCATAATAGATCCCTTCTTCTAAATCTTGAGGACCTTATGAGAGAAGAAAGTCTGTAATGACCCTTACTTGGTAAGAACAATAAATAAGAAATCAATTAATTTGAGTATAGCACAATTATGGAAATAAATTTTATTTAAATTAAAAATTTTACTATGGAACATAAATGTTCTTGTGGTCCAAGTTGTCATGTTGTTGTGGATAAGAGTATGTAAAGTTCTTGAATATGAAGGTTCATGATTTGTAGGCATGCTAAGAAGAGTATATTATAAAATTAAGCCAGGGAATCACTTCTGAATTTTCTTGACCTTTCTTCTTTCTTTCTGTCTTTCTTTTATGCTTTCTTACTTTTTTGCTTGGTTCTTTCTTTTCTCTCAATCTCTTTCTTTCTCTTCCATTCTCTACTTTTGGAGATGCTGGTGATTGATTTCAGGGCATTATGCACAATAAGAAGAAACGTATTCTACCATTGAGCCTTTCAACTTGCCTCTTGACTTGCTTCTTGATTCATTAACGAATAAGTTTGATTATCAAAACCTTTTTCATGCTTACAAAGTTGGAGTCATTTTATTACATTGATACTAACAAGAATAAAATAGCAAGCACTATAGATAACATGAGTGACTTTATTCCATCGCTTTATGTCCTCTTAGAAAGTGGGCCTTTTACAACATAGGATTAAGAAAAGCAAGAAATGTGGAAGGCATTTATCATACAGACTTCACAGCGGGATCAGAGAGTCAAAGAATCCACTGCTCCACTGAAATACAGATTAGGACGGGTATCAAAAGAGACAAGAACAATGCAGTATAGCCATCAGGTGACAAATAAATTCCTCCTAGAAGAAGTAGCATTCCCATGCTGCTGGGCTAACTGGAAATACAGCACAAGAAATGGCTGAGCGAAAGGGATGGATAAAAACTTAAATATCCATCTTCACAACTAGTAAAATAATACAATGAATATATGTTGAGATTCATTCTATGAACATTGTGACTTACTGAGTGGAAGTAGTAGGAAAAGTCTAAAACAATTCTCTTTCGTGGCTCTGAGGCTTTCAAGCGGAACGTTCTAGGGTCATCCAATCAGGATTTTTGCAACTGGGATTCTAATCTTGTGGAAGATTGGGGAACCATAAAGTCTCAGGGGAGACTTTATGAATCTGAACTTGGGAGTTGACAAATCAACTTCCAATCACGTTTTCTTCTTTACATTTCATATATTGCTCTCTATTTCCAAAATAAACAATTGTTATTCCTTAAGCTCTTTCTAGCAGTTCCTAGCACGTGTTTTATTTTTTAATAAAATATTGAACAAGAAAATATCTGCATAAATATTTAACTCAACAAAATTGAATTTGTTAAATTGTTTTTATCTCTTCTTTTACCATATTAGCCATTTTATTGGAAAAAGATATTCCTTGAACTCAGACATCAAAACAATTTTGAACATTCTTTTCTCAAAAAATAATAGCATTCCTCCTTTTCTTTAAATTTTATTGTCTTCAAGTACTTGCACAAAGGAGTTGCCATTTAACAAAGCTGTTTATGAATATAATGCATCTTGATCAGTATTGTCCCTTTCAACAAATAATGTTCTCTCATCCAAACACTTTGGTTCAGAAATGGAAAAAAAACATTTTTTTCAGTGAAATGAGCATAGTGAAGATTATGTGAGCACAGGAGGAAAAATCTCAACCTATCATTCTTCATTATACAAGGTCTTACACAGAGTGAAACACAAATCACAGGACAAAAAATAGTATGACCCCTGCTTTAGAAATTTTGTAATACTTTTCAGAAACATCCAAGCACAAGTTAAATCAAAGCCACATGTTACTTTCTGGGGTGACAGAAGAACCTTTTGCCAGCTTCTTCAGCTCAACATTTCGAGAACATTCCATTTGAAGGCTTTCTTTAGGAAAGAACAATTCCTAGATCCTGAGGAATTCTTTCAGTGGGGAATATGGACTCTGCTGACAAATGGAAATATATTAAACATATTTTCCACATGCTTTGTTCTTACTTTTAATGCTTCTTCTGCATCTTAGCTGGATAAGTGATCATGTCCAAATGGTATTTGGCCATTTATGGGGTTTAGTTCACAGAGTGTTTAAACACACATCGGGGCCAAAGAAAAGCTAAGACTCAATCTCAGTGGTCTGCATTCAGCTTTGAGCAGGAATCCCTCAGTTCATATTTCCCTAAAGCCATTCAAATTGAGGTCCAATTCGAAAGCAATACCCTAGGTTCCTTGCAGATCACTTCTGCGGCTTTGGGATGGCGCATCATCAAAAGCAAGCTTGCCCCTTCGCGGTAATTATCAATGCTTGCTTTTGTTGAAAAGAAATGACTATGAAGACATCAGTGAACAACTTTGCTAGCCAGATGGCAGATTGTGAAAGAGGGAATCAATTATTTTTAATTAAGACGGCTTCTCGCAGCCCAGACACTGACGACCTCAGAAGCGACTTCCAGGGTGACCTTTGCAGAGGGAAGATGAATAATAGCTTTGAAGAGACCACAGCAACCTCTGAATCCTCAGGCCACATGCACTCCTGTGCTTTCCAGCTGGAAAAACCACAAAAATTAGCATTGCATGATGACGACGAAGGCCCTTTCCGTGCAGTTACAAGCAGCAACGCGTTTTCCTGAGCTCAGGGATGACACAGCCCACAGTGATAAAGGTATATAAATGCTCCACACAGTGCCACGGGCGACATTCGGGCTCAGAACATCTTCCTCGCAGGTCCGGTCTCCTTTCAGCATGGCCTACAACGGCTGTTCCAGAAACTTCTCATCTTGCTCCTTTGGAGGTTACCTGCAGTACCCAGTCTCCTCCTGCGGATCTTCCCATCCCCAAAACTGGCTTTACAGCACTGACCTCCAATCGCCTTTCACCAACCAGCTGAGCTACAGCGATTGTCAGGAGACCTTCCAGGAGCCCACCGACTTCCAGTCTACCTGCGTGCCCTCCGGGCCCTTTCAGAGGAGCTGGTGGCGCCCCAAGATCTCCACATGCTACAGACCCTACCAGACAGCTTGCACAGGGTCCCTGGGCTTTGATACCAAGGGGCGTCAGACTTTTGGCCTTGGCTCTCCCTCTCTGGGCTTTGGGAACCGTGGTTTCCAAACCGTGGACTGTGGTCCCCAATCTTTCTCATCCCTCTATTACAGACCCAACTTCTACCGCCCCACCTACTTCTCTACTAAAAGCCGCCCCACTTACTTCTCTACTAAAAGCTGCCAGTCTGTGTCTTACCAACCAGCCTGTGGATCTGGCTTCTACTAATCCTGTATTGGAGAAATCCGATCTGTCTACTTGGCAGCTTCTATCTTAAGATCTAACTTACGTTTGAGCTCTTCTGTTCTTAGTCTAGACATTGGAACCCTATTGAATAAAAGTAACTGAAAAAGAGGCCAAACTGTTTTCTGCTCATGATATGGACATGCAATTATTGAAGCCTCATTAATTCCTAATGTCTCTTCTGGTCTGTCTTAAGTTTTGCAAAGTGAAAATGTTATATGTTTAAATAAAATATTTATATGACTTTCCACTTTAATATTTCTTTAATATCATTTATTCATTTACTTTTAATTTTTCTCTTCAAAATGAATTCTAAATATCAGGCTGCGTTTATCTTTTCTGTATTTATACTTAAAATATTCCAGTAAGGTGCTGGTGGCTCATGTCTGTAATCTTAGCTACTGGGCGTGGGGGGAGGGGATGAAATCTGAAGGTTGAAGTTTGAAGCAGCCTAGAACTTAAGTGCAAGCCCCAGGACATGCACAACACCCCCTCAAAACAACAAGAATGACAAAAAGTCCTTTCAACTTTAAATAGTTGAAACATGTTTTCAACTTCCATGTTTACATATACAATTTGCTTGCCTGATTTATCATATGATAGAATAAAGGTTACATACTTTTTTAATTTTAATTTTTTGTGAACATACTGTACAGAGGGGTTACAATTACATGGGCAAGATAATGAGTACATTTATTATCAAGCATTGCAGCCTCCTACTTTGTTTACCCTTCCCATCCCTTCCCAGCCTCCCCCCTGCCCCCCAAATCCTCCCCCCCCAACCAAAATTATAAAGTTCGTTTTTGACATGACAACTTGTACTTCTCATTGTTGCAACAGGTCCACCTGTATCCTTAAATGACTTGTTTTTCCCATCTTCTCCACAAATTATACCGACATCAAATACAGTGAAAGCAGGGGTTATACTGTGGGGGAGGGACATACAAATCAACAAAGAAATAATCTTGTAAATGCGTTAGAAACAAATGCATGAAAGAAAAAAACATTAAAATACATATCTAAGGGTTCATTTTCCAAACATCACATTATCTGACCTTTTCTGCTTGACTCATACATATACTAGATATTGCAAATAAGGGAAACCATGGGACCTATGTTTCTTTGGGCCTGGCTTACTTCACTTAATATAATTTTTTCCAAGTCTTTCCATTTCCTAATAACTGGGGCAATGTCATTCTTTCTGATGGAGGCGTAGAATTCCATTGAGGTTACACACTTTTTAAAACCACAAACTCATGACTGTGATTTGTGTTATATGTAGTTACAATATTTAATATTTTTTGAAATGGTAACAATTTGCATGGATTATTAAACTATTTATATAATTTAGGAACAAATTTATTCTTATAAGCCAGGCACAGGTGGCTCATGCCTGTAATCATAGTTACTCAGGAGGCTGAGATCTGAGGAGCATGGTTCAAACCCAGTCTGGGCAGGAATGTCCGTGATATTCTTATCTACAATTAACCATATACACAGTAAAGAAGCCAGAAGTGCACCTTTCATTCAAAGTGGTAGAGTACTAGCCTTGAGCACAAAAGCTTAGGGACAATGCCCAGACCCTAAGTTCAAGCCCTGGTCAAAATTTAAAAAAAAACTATATATATATATATATATATATATATATATATGTGTGTGTGTGTGTGTATATATATATAAGTTTTATGACAAATATGACCAGAAGGAAGGTATTAGTGTTTTATATGTGGTGAGGTGTTTTGTTCCCATAGCTTTACTTTCCTTAATGTAGATTTCTAAGTAAAATTACTAACACATGCCAACATTTATTAACAAGCAGCCCACGTATTTTCCACATAATCGATTCTATAAATTTGATAAAGTATCCATTTTTTTCTGTTTTCCTGGTTGTTTGGTTAATAGCACTTATTTGAAAGAAAACATCTTCTCAAACAATATGAATATTCTCTTGTGGATTTCAGCTAAATATCAACAGTTGGTTATTCTTGAATCATCAAGTATTTTCCAAATTTTTATCTCTATGACAAGGATAATATTATAAAAGGTACAGATGATTTAGTTGCTTAGCAACAGGGTCACCATATATTTTGGTTTATATTTTTCGTCTCAACACCCACTGCTATTTGTAAATGGAAACAGAATTTTAGAATAATTTTAATGCATAATTATTAAAAATTTTATTAATAATATAAAACATTAACTGGCATAAATGATTGATTTTTGGAGACTTTCACTTTATTTCAATCACAGATTAATCTAGTTGAGCACAAGATAAATATATAATGAACAGTTTAAATCTATTGTTAAATTGGAAAGAATATTAAAAAGATCACCCTTTCTAAACAAAATTGAGCTGTCATTTTTTATTCAAAAACAGCATGCAGAGGGGTCACTGGGGAGATAAATTGCATTAAAATACAATTTACACAAAAATCGACACATTTAAATAAAGACTCAAGTTGAGAGTAGATCTTTTGTTGTCAATTAGCTCTGTATTGCTTTACCCCTGAATCAATATTCATGAGCCACCAGTAGGTGGTGGTAGTGGGAATTTTTGAAAATTGCTGGTTAGCGGTACTTGAAGTTAAGTGCATTAAATTGATCATATGGTCTTGGAGTGTACAAATAATCTAAATTCTCTTACTATAGTGGTTTTGGATATATTGTACTTTTAAAAATCACAACTATTTATCTGATTGATTTATTATAACACCCTATGTAAAACATTTTAAAGAGGCACAAAACTTTTTAATGCCCACAGTTGTGTACTTAGTTTATACTACTAAAGCAAATTCATTGTGAGTGCATAACTGATGATATTTATTATCCAACATGAACATATGTGACATAATTCATCACGCAAAAAGTTAAGAACATGATATTACTTAAGTCTTCAAGTGATGGTAAACAATTAAAAAAGACTACTTATGAGGTGATTACTGAACAATCGGACTTGCAAATTATGTTTCTGTATACTAGTTTGACTCTGAAATGATTTGACTCATGCTACATACTGTTTTCTTGTGAAAGTATAAATACCATATCTAGTGATATTCCCTTCTATTAGCTGAGGAATAAAAATCACTAAGGGTAAAATAAAATAAAATAAAATGAACTTCAATGATCTCATTTCCTCATTCAGTACAAAAATCCAAATGAAGCTATGGTAGGTTCACATCTTTCCTTCCAACCTCCTTTGGTTGAGCTTGAGTTTGAACATGGGGCTTCAGGCTTGCTAGGCTGGTGCTCTACATATATGTTGCACCTCCAACCCTGCTTTTGGCTGGCTATTGTGAAGGTAGAATCATGTGGACTTTTCTGCCTGCTGTATTTTTTAAAATCCAGTCCTACAGATCTCTGCTAACATTACAGACCTAAGCCACCTGAACCTGGCTTCACATCATCCCTTTGATATTGCCAATATATATTCATTAAGAGTTCATCTTTGATGATAGTTATTTGCTGTCTCAGGAACCATAAAAGTCACAGATTTTGGTTACGAATAGCATAATGGTAAGGACAATAATTAAGAATCTCATAAAAATGTATTTGTGATTGTGCTAATAACATGAGTGAGTATTATTTCCAATTAAGCTATAAAGTGGAAATTTTAAAATGGGAACAATGATCATCTATATTCACTCTTATATTAGAAATATTTGCTTTGTCTTTGTCAATTACTGTTGTATTATCTCTGAATTCTGGAATTTGTTATTTCTGATTCATTGTTGGCATTATTTTATCTAACCAAGCCTATGCAATAAATTTTCTTTTTTGGATTATATATTCTTTCATGCCAATATCTCAATTTTAAAAAAATTACTTCTTATTATACAAGTAGTAGTACTGTATTATACTACTTTATTCAAAGACTGCTCTATCACTTCACTTTGATTCACTGCTCTCCTTCAATCTCTCTTCAATCCAGTTTAGAATATTAATGAGATGTCACAAGCAATTCACACTTTTACTTTTTTGTTGATATTGTTAAATATGATTGAAAGGGGAATGTGATATCGATCATCTTGACTCCTACATCTGTATAAACTAAATTACATTAAAAAGGTCCATTAAAATTAATAATTCAAAGGAATCCTAGCTACTTGGATTTAAGGTTAAATCAATTACAGGCAGAGACTTCTGTAAGCCTCGATGTACAATGAACCAACAAAATGCTGGATTGGAGGTGTGGTTCAAATGGTAGAGCACCAGCTGTGTAAATTGGCAAGAATAAGAGGCTCTGAGTTTAAGCCACAGTACTGACACACACACAATTAATGACATCAACTTTAGCACAGCACTAAAAGTTTCTAATAATTTTCTCCTGAGCTGCCACCAAATGTTTTTCAATCAATTATTTGTGTAACAGCATAAATATTGAACAAGTTTGTTTAGTATTCCTCATGTGGCTAAAGAAATTGATCTAGTAGAATATTAAATATACTCAGATTAAGTAATTTCCACAAGAGTAGACAGACAAAAGACTGTGGCTATTCACAAAGTCTTCATATTTAAACATTCATTTAAACTTACTTTCTGGTAGGTCTTTATCTACAAATGGAGGTGTTAGAGAAAGAAGAGAGGCTAGCTTTATCTCATATATGAAAAGATTTATAGTATATAGTCTTTGGCATCTTCCAGGGATTTTCAAGTGTGTAATGAAGAGTTTGTACCTTGTATTACTGTATCCCATAGTCTTGATGAGCATCCTAGGTGTAGCTATAGAAAACACGTGCATTTACGCTTCAAACAGCATTGCACAAACAGCATCTTTCCTATGAATAGGCAGAATTTCTTTGTATCTGGCCATCTCAAAGGTTCACACTTGGAAAACTGAAAGCGTTCACTATCATTCTTCCCTTGTACTGTTAGTGCTTTCTACTAGATTTTGAGAAAACATATATTTAGAATTGTTCAAACATTGGAACACAGGAACAAACTCACCACTTTTCCCTTTGTCCAGATCTTGAGGAGAATAACTCCAAGTCATTCTGTGTTCCTAAAACATCCTGGAAAGGTTGAGTCCCAGTTGCTCATTGTAAAATCCTTTGAGATGCAGACTGGGACTAATACAAAAAAGTGTTTGTATATTCTTTCTCAGATGCTGCTGCTAGCTTAATTGACATTAAGCCTTAGAGAAGCATTTAGAGGTTACACAAATCTATTGAAACCAATTAGGCTCACTTAAGATTGCTGGGATTTTCCTTACACCTTGGCAGAAGAGGTATTGGAATACCTTAGAGACCTGGCATTTGTACCAACCCACAAAAGGCAAAGTGTCCTGAGAGTTCCTTGGGCTCATTTTGCTCTTGGCGAAATAGGAGACTGAGAACAGGTTTTGTGTGAGTGTCGATCTCATCATATTACTTAGTGCCTTTTCTAGTTTATATCTTCATTTCTTACATTCCATGAAGAAAATCACTTGTGTCCTCAGTTCTATGCAACCCTTAGCATTGTTGTACTGAAGTGGCAGACCAAAGGATGCTCTGGGAAGAACTTACTACTTCCAATAAACACGATACCCAATGTCAGATTATGGTCAATGCCCATTAGAGAGGTTTACTAAAATTTCTCTAGTCCTTGAAGACAAAATCTACATGCAGGAACAATAATATGAACATCATATTTAGGTACCAGATTGCATAAATTTATTAGATTAAATTCTCATTTCAACAGCTCTTGGATGAAAATCAAAGTGTATACAGTACAGAGATTAAGGTGCAATGTAGGGTTACTCATTAATTTCAAAGTCAGCTAGAAGCTGAGGAAAGAAGCTTTCCATGGAAGAATGCGAGCATAGTGGCCCAGAAGTGCCAAAGAAATCAATGGCGGCACGGGGTAGGTCAGCAGTCATAAGCGCAGAGATATTTAACAAGTAAATTCATAGAAGCCAGAGCCACAGGTTGGTCTGTAACTATAACCCTGGGACATTCTAGAGGCCAAGTAGGGTGGGTAGCAGAATCTAGACCCATAACTCAGGGAAGGGAAACCGTAGACTCCATAGCCGCTGGAACCACAGCCCTGTGGGTAGCAGCTTCCGGATGTATAGAATGGGGCATAGGAGCGTCTCCACCCATACCCCAGCGAGCAGGAGCTTCTAGATCCGAAGCCGCTGGAACCACAACCCTGTGGGTAGTAGCTTCCAGATGTATAGAATGGGGCATAGGAGCGTCTCCACCCATACCCCAGCGAGCAGGAGCTTCTAGATCCGTACCCTAGCGGGTGGCAAGCATTGGACCCAAAGCCCAGAGATCCAGAGTAAGTTGTGCGGCAGGGACCGCAGAACGTAGACACTCTGGGGCTGTAGCAGGTCCTCTGGAAGGGCCTGGACTCCACACAGGAACTCTGGAAAGGACTGGACTCCACACAGGAACTCTGGAAGGGCCTGGACTCCACACAGGAACTCTGGCAGGGACTGGACACCACACAAGAACTCTGGCAGCCCATGGGCTCGCCACAGGTGTCCTGACAGCCACCATGGAGAGAAGAGGCCAGCTGGCAGGATCCCGGAGCGCAGAGGTCAGTGCTGTAGACCAGGTTGCTGGGGAAGGCAGAGCCACAGGAGGACCTGGACCGTGACAGGCAGCCCTGAACGGAGCTGGAGGAGAAGTTTCCAGAGCAGCGGCTGTAGGACATGTTGAGAAGGTGAGGTGAGTTCTGCTGTGGGTTCAGCTGAGAGGAGTGTGAGTTTGAGTGTCCTGCTCTGGACAGGAGCCTTTATATCGTCTGAGATGTAGGTGTGGTGGCCGTTCAGGGTCATCCCTGGCATGCTGGTGCCTCCTTATTTACAATGCATAACTCTGTCATCTTGCCAGAGCTGAAGTTGCAGGTTAATAGGTTCCTGAGTAATGTATTTATGAGCACTATGATTTTGTTGTTGCAGCAAAATCCAGTGGACTACTCCTATGTTAGAAATGCCATGGGGATTTAATATTAATGTCTATCCCATCACGCTATAGAAGCCCTTCCAATCCCTCTGATATTTCCTGCCTGCTCCTCCTTTGTATTTACATCAGGCTTTGTTCACGAGTGATTTTTCTCCTAGAACTGGAGAATCAGAACACATTAATTTTCTTCTGGCATACTGGATGGGTTTCCACCTGGATGGGGGCCTGTATAAACATCATCCTCCCAGTTTCTATCACCATCCATTCTCCTTCTCCTCAATTACTATGAGGTGATTGATGATGGTACTCACAGAAAACTATTATATCAAGTACCACAATTATACAGTGTGTCTCATGTTCAATGAAGAAAGACCAAAAAGAGATAAAACACAGAGGCTAAGATGGAGATTACTAGAAACTGAAAGAGACCATGAGATGTACTTAAAAGACAAGGTAGCAGCATAAGGACTCATTTGGAACACGACCTACCACAGAAAACAAACCTAGACAAATCCAGAGACAAGCAAGAGCCAAATATTTAATAAAGGCAAAACTCGTATTTGTTTTTGATTGACCTGCCTTGCTTTCTCTCTCCCTCCCTCCCTCCCTCTGCCTTCCCTCCCTTTGTTCCTTCGTTCTTTCCTTCCTTCCTTCTCTCCATTTATTTATTTAATTTATTTATTTACTTGATGCCAGTCTCAGGACTTAAACTCAGGGCCTGGGCTTTGTCCCTGAGCTGTTGTGCTCAAGGCTAATACTCTACCACATGAGCTATAGCTCCACTTCTGACTTTTTGATGATTAATTGGTATAAGAGTTTCATAAACTTTCCAGTCCAAGCTGGCTTCAATTCTTAATCCTCACATCTCAGCTTCCTGAATAGCTAGCATTATAGACATGAGCCACTGCCCCAGCTCTGAAATCATTTTAAAGTTATCTTTAAATAAATCTCAAGAGGAATTCAATTCAACATAGTATGCATTGCATTCTTAAATGATGATTTGTTTCCTTCCAATGTGTTTATAAGCAAAACTCTTCAAAATTAGCATATTTGGGAACTTTATTATATTCTTCCTTTATAATCCATCTATATAACAACATAGGATTTGTATCCACTCCAAGTGTGTGAAGCTTTTGATACTTTGATGCTTTCATTGACCTTTGGCCACTTCTTTTGCCAGGTACCACCCAACATTTTCCTGCCCAAATATGAAGTTCCTCTCTCTCCTGTTCTCTCTTCTACTGCAGGTTTTTCTTCTTCAGTTTATAACCTTTTACTGATGGTTGGTTTGTTGGTGTGTCTTTGGCAAAAAAAAAACTTTAGGTTCAAATGGAAAAATAATTTTGTTAGGATTACCTTATTTTCTGAGGATAACCACTTGTTTCTTTAGTTAGATTCTGCTCTCAAATGATGTATATACCCACGGTTTTTATTTTGTTTTCTACTAAAATCTAATCAACTTATAATAGTAATGCTACAAATGCCCACGACCTTTTGAGATGTAGATTTTCTAAAAGGAAGAAAGTGAGGGAAGAAATAAATGCACACAATTCAAATAACTATTCTATGGGTCCTTTATTTTCTGTTCTCCAAAGAGCAGACTCTATGTTCTACTCTGTTGTATCTCTGCAATGAGGTAAAATATGAAGATCAGTCCTCTAGATATGATCCCTTTCACATTTTGGTTTTGTTTGTTATTTCAAACATAATTGTAAGGTAATCCTGAAAACAAATACTGAAGATTTAAATAGGGAACATGAGTTTGCAAGGCACAGCTGAAGAATTGTGTGAATTTTTCTTCAGGCACTCTGCTTCCTCACAGGAAGCCCTTTTTCTGAGCCAGTTAATAGGAAAAGAAATATTCTCCCCTTGCCTTGCCTCTAAACTCCTACAATCCTGCCCGCATCAAGGGGTGATCTGTTTGAGAAGAATCTGTAAAGGCTCTAAAATTCATCTCAGAGGCTATATTATTTGTTCAGGATAAAACTGATCTCTATCATTATTTTTAGCTGAATTATTCATCAATGAAAAATCGAGATATTTCACATGAAATTTATGACTCGAGGCTGTTCATGCAGAGACTTCTGATAATTCCATTGTATTTTCCACTAGTAGGCTGTAGACAATTTTTCTTTTGATTTGTGAGCTTTGTTTCTGACAGAACCTCATCTGTGGTTGAAAATTACAGCTTTGGGTAATCACCCACTTGCCCAAATTACCAACTTGTCATTTACAAGCTGGAGATTTTGCTTTTTTATCATTCATTTAGGATAGCACCTCAACAAACAAAAGCCAGTACTTACTATCTTAATTGACTACTTCCCTTAATTGACTGTATTATGATATTTATTAGCTAGAAAATATATTCTTTTAGTAGCCAATATTCAAAATATCTGAACTCCATCTTGTCAAAAATTATGTAACTTGAGGGTATGGATGGGATTGGAAAAGACAGGGGAGAATGCTGGGAAGGGGTGACCTTGATCTAGATGCACTATACATACAATGTGACTTGAATTACAACCCCTTTGTAAAACTACTTAATGTTTTAAAGTAAAAAATATATAGAGAGATGGCACATGTTTACTTTCATTTATGGAAGCCTGATCTAAAATACCAGTTGGCATGGTAACCTATACGGGACTCTAGGCACACACACACACAAGCAATCAGACTAAAAGGAGGTACTCCAAGGGGAGGAACACAAAGGCACAACTCCAATGAATATTTAAAATACTATTTAACAAAATGAATTCCAAGAAAGGAAGGGTGTGTTTTTTAAAATTTTTTTTGGTGGTGGTGGTAGTGTTTGTTTTTTTTTTTTGTTTTGATTTTTTTGTCTTTTGGGGGAACCAAAGGGGAGCACAGGAAGGGAGGAGGAGGGGTGAACAGACAAGGTCATGGTATTCAGTATAGACTATGTGGATAATGAACCATGCAACCTGCAGTCGGAGATGAGAGTGAGGAAACTAGGGGAAAGCAAAGGAAGGGGTGATATTGTCCAAAGAGAAATGTACTTATTGTCTGCCATGAATAACAACCCTTCTGATACAACAGCTTAATAATAACTAAAAACCTATATTTTTAAAAAGCACAAACAAAAACATTCTTCCTGCAAAAGTGTCATGGCTAGACTTGTGTTTGTTTTCTGTTTGAGTTTCATGTACTTTCTCTAACACTAAAGCCCATTCATTTCTCCCAGTTAGATCTTTGTTATTTTCCCCTAAGAATTACTTTATAAAATTATAGGAGGTAAAGGCACATTGAGATTCCCCAAGAAACATGCTAATGAGGCATCTGTGTCTTTTGTCAAAAAAAGTTGAAAACCTGGGTTGAATAAAGAGCTGTTTATTTAGGAGGTAATCCCGATGAATATGTAGAGGGAGAAGGAAAACATGCCAGGAAATGAAGATGTTCAAGAGACAGTGTATTAGTAAGAAAGGCCTCACCATGTAACTAGGGCTCAATTACAGGAGAATTCCTTACAGGGGTATATCATGTTTAGGAGAAGCTAAAACATCCTTAGGTAGAATGTTCTAGTTATCAGGCTGTGCAGATGATTACCGAGGAGATACCAGCAGGGTGGTGACAGTTGCCATTGACCCTGGGGTAGGATGTTCCTTTGAACAGTGTAGATACAGTACAGAGGGGAGGAAATGAGATAGGAACTGGAAGGATAAAATTGAATGAAAAGACGTGGTGAGTCTAAAGCAAATTGCAATACAGTAGGAAGCAGATGTATATGGTGCGAAATGATGGACAGGGTTGGAGACACAGCCTGGACACCCGTTTGTGCCTCCATGTGAGTTTGCTGAGATTTCTTATCAGCAGATACAGGTTAAGTTAATATAACTAGTTTTTAATGGAACCCTTCATCTTTGTCACTCTATTTATTTTGAAAAGATACAAATCTTTCAAACCTATAAAAAAAACTACCTATCGCAAATTGCTTAAAATATTGAAACATTTCCCTTCTGAAAAGTGAAATGCAGGAGAAAATACTTGCAATGTGTGTTTATATATAAACACATATTTTTATATGAATCAGCTATCTATGTACATTATTTATGTTTATCTCTGTGTGTGGTGTGTGTATGCATATATAGATAATTTTATGTTTATGTTTGTATCTATAAACATGCACACACATGCACACCCATCCTTCAGAGAAATATCAGAGCCTTGTATAATCACAGAGCTCTTACAAGAGCCACAAAGTCAAAAGCAATGTGTTTTCCCCTAGGGTGGTGGGTGGTCCCTTTAAATTTAGATGCTGCTTTTGGATTTTGATTAAGGGACTTTAGAGAAATTTCACAAACTAGTAGGACTAGAGGAACAAAATTAATATTCTCAGCCTACGAAAGAGTTGGGGCCCTGGGAAATATTCTGGACCTTAAAGAAACAACTCCTAGCTGTAAAATTCAATTCTAATAGACTCTTATAAGGCTGGAAGCCCAGGTTTAAATTATATCAAGTCATGGTTGCATTAAAATGATCTTTATTTAAGTAGCCTCACAGAAACCAAGAGAAATTCTAACTTTTTACATATGAAGTATATATTATTGTATTAAAATACAGAAGGAAAGTAACACTCAAATATAAACAAGCATAAGAAAATAGAATCTGAATTATAGGATGAATATAATGCACATCACAAAGCTAGACTTAGATAATCATCATGTTCTTCATAATGATGGTTTAGCCAATAATTATGTATGGTGGTGGTCTCACTACATTATCTTCCCTAGTCATGTTAAAACCATTTTAGTGAAGAACATATTATGACATGTAAACAATGACTGTTGGTAGGCAATTGCCTACCAACAGTTTTCTGAGAATGTGAGAAATTATTATTAAATGCCCATTCTCAAATGACACACTATCATACTGAATTCTTTGCTATCTACCCAATAATGCACAATAAATTTTCTCTTTCTGTGAACATCAACTGAATAGTTGATTTATACAAAACGTCTATAAAAGATTCAGTATATCTAAGACCTACTGAATTCTTTTTTAAAATGAAATGAAATTTCTGAACTTCAAAAGGTTGAAAATATTCCAACTCTGTGTTGGGTAAACACAGTTCACCTGATCAGGGTAAAGTCTTCCATTATTCTCCGTATTGTATGTGTTCACTTCCCTTAGACTCCACCCCCTACTTCCTTTACACTGAATTTGTTCTCTGTTCTTTTTTTCATTCATCCACCCTTCTCCCACTACCATCTCTGCTTACAATGAATAAGAAGAAGAGAGAAGAGAGTGTGCAACAACTATATGGACTAAAAATATCTTAAGTCCAATAGGGAAATTCAAGTCCAAGTTGGCCTTTAAAGGATTTGAGGATTCAATGTGTTTGCCTGGTGTTCAGTGATTAATGGGAGCAATCCATAAAAGCAAGCTTCCTGCTAAAGTGCAGAGCTGGGTTTGAGACCACACCTGTAGGCTTTAAGTCAATGAGGCTTCCTGTGGCTTAAGGCGTGAGAAGTGAATTTTCTGGGTTGCCTCATGTTTGGCTATCCAATAGGGCCAGTGGCCCCACGCTGAATCAGAAATCCATTCTCTTTTTATGTCCTGTGTGAGCATCTTTACCAGTGCCCAAATTAATCATCTCTAAGACTATCCCAGTTCTATCCATCACTGTCAACACTGCACCAAGTAAGGTGTCTAGACACCAATGTCATTCAGTTGGTCTTGGCTCATACTTACCTCTCCATATTGGATGCAAGACAAAATGAATAAGGACATGTATTCTGTGTATGATCATTTTGGAAAATGAGAGAGGTTGGTGATGAGAACTTCACTTTAGTAGGTTTCTCATGAAAGACATAATGGGCTTTCAAATCCATTGACAAGAAGAAAGATAACTTTACTTCATTCTGTGTCATTTGGAGATAAGGATTTTCCCATGACATCCTATGACATAAATGAAATTGGTTTGTCAGGAGGAAGAGGAAGGGGATTCTTTGGATGGAATACCATTAGTATAAAACAGTCACAGCATTTCAGACGTAGGAGTCATTTATTGGCTTTGTCTGTAACCACCAAATTATAGCACCCATAAATATATAGGAAAACTATTCAAATAAAATTACAGACAGATTACAGAGTTATGCATTGTAAATAAGGAGGCACTAGCATGCCAGGGATGACCCTGAACGGCCACCACACCTACATCTCAGACGATATAAAGGCTCCTGTCCAGAGCAGGACACTCAAACTCACACTCCTCTCAGCTGAACCCACAGCAGAACTCACCTCACCTTCTCAACATGTCCTACAGCCGCTGCTCTGGAAACTTCTCCTCCAGCTCCGTTCAGGGCTGCCTGTCACGGTCCAGGTCCTCCTGTGGCTCTGCCTTCCCCAGCAACCTGGTCTACAGCACTGACCTCTGCGCTCCGGGATCCTGCCAGCTGGCCTCTTCTCTCCATGGTGGCTGTCAGGACACCTGTGGCGAACCCACGGGCTGCCAGAGTTCCTGTGTGGTGTCCAGTCCCTGCCAGAATTCCTGTGTGGAGTCAAGGCCCTTCCAGAGTTCCTGTGTGGAGTCCAGTCCTTGCCAGAGTTCCTGTGTGGAGTCCAGGCCCTTCCAGAGAACCTGCTACAGCCCCAGAGTGTCTACGTTCTGCGGTCCCTGCCGCACAACTTACTCTGGATCTCTGGGCTTTGGGTCCAATGCTTGCCACCCGCTAGGGTACGGATCTAGAAGCTCCTGCTCGCTGGGGTATGGGTGGAGACGCTCCTATGCCCCATTCTATACATCTGGAAGCTGCTGTGGTGCCAGCGGCTTCGGATCCCTGGGTTATGGAGTCTATGGCTTCCCTTCTCTGAGTTATGGGTCTAGATTCTGTTACCCTACTGCTTTTCCTTCTAGGTCTTTCCATTCTTCTTGTTTCCAGCCTTTCTCTAGATCTGGTTTCTACTGAATGATCTGTGGATTGGCTTAACATATTTAGAGAAACCAAGATTCAACAGTAAGATTACCTATGAATTGAGAAGCGTTCTAATATTCCTATGAACCCTATTTCCTTTCTGTCTTTCAAATTTGATACTTCAAATTACAAAACTAAGTAACTGTAAATTGTCTTGCTGGCATAAAAGATACTTTTGGCATTTCTTCTCCAAATTGTAATGAAAAATAATGTTCTTTAATAAACTTATTCTGAAGCTTAAATGTGTTTTTGCTTTTATTTTATTTTTACTGGTAACCTATTGACTATCCATTAGGATTGTTATGTTATTGATTTGGATTATGAACTTTGGAATAGTCAGAGTGTTGAGTATAGGCGCAAACTTTGGTTTGTCTTTGAGTATTTTTGCTTTTCTAAGCTGGAGTTTCCTAAGTGCTCAGAGTGTTTAGGTTTAATTTTTCTTTTTAATCAAATATCAAAGAAAATGTAATAGCTCTGATCAGTTAATGAATGTCATGCTTCTCGAGTATAGACTGTATCAGCAATTTTGGTAGTATGAAAATAAATGTATATGCATATATATATATATAATGAGGTCAAAGCATAAGGATATTAAAATAGAAGACTAATGGGTTGGTATGAATTTTCAGAAATGAGTCTCTATATGGTTTAGGAACTCACTGTACAGTAGTAATTTGTTTCATATGAATTCTCCAGTTTATGTTGCCAGTTTATACAGATTATATGTATAGGAAAAAGCATATTTTTAGACTGGAAAAAATAAGGCTAAGAAGTACAAAGCCATGCCTAGCTTCTAGGACCACCAAAGAACTAAACCTACCTGAAATAATCAAAACCCTTACTTACCATGAAAAGTAAATTTTGTACTTTTATCTTGAAATAAGAATGAATAGATGGTATTTATTATACCATATATCTATTTTACAGTCAAGTATTAGAGAAAGGTATCATTAGGTCAAAACAACAGTATTTCTTAGGAAAAGATAGTCTGAAATGGCAATATAATATTCAGATATGACAAATGATATTCAAATATACTTCCTATTCTTGTGTGTGTGTGTGCCGGACCTGGGGCTTGAACTCAAGGCCTGGGCACTGTCTCCGAGCATATTTTTGCTCAAGGACAGTGCTCTACCACTTGAGCCAAAGCTCCATTTTGTGATTAATTGGAAATAAGAATCCCACAGACTTTTCTGCCTGAGCTGGCTTTGAACTGAAATCCTCAGCTTCCTAAATAGCTTGGATTATAGGCATGAGCCACTGGTGCCCAGCTTATATATTTTCTATTCTTTATAAGATCTTCAAGCTTTCTCTCAAATTGGACATAAAATATTAGACACTGGATAAAAGCTAATCTTATAAGAATATCATAGTCATCTCATCATGTTGGCTTCCTCTTTGTCTATTAAGTAATAAAATATGAACTATAAAAGAACCCAGAGAGCTCACTGAATTTCATGGAATTACTTCTGCAGTAGCAGAAATTGAAACGGAAGACTTTAATAGCATTTTAAAATACTACACAGCAAGTTACTACAGCGCTCTGTTTAAAACCAGTTTAACACTTTTATTCCTTCTGTTCAGCTGGGATATTCTCTCTTAATTCTTTTCTTCCCTCATCTCTTCCTGTCCTCTGTCCTCTCCATCTGTTTTTACCCATCATATTTAAGCAATTCAGAGGAACTGCTGTACAAGAAAAAGCAAAAGAACAATCAAAAGAAATTGGGGAACATATTCAGTGATTTCCCTACAAAATGACATTAGAAAACAGTAATTTCGTTATTGGTATAATTTCATTGATCTTTAAAATCCTAATGGTTCAAGTTATTCCTGTGCTGATATCCTGTGTCCTAACGCAATGGCCACGTTTCACATCCCGAATCATAAGTAAACACAGGACTTCCATAAGGAACAGTTACAGTTTTGTGGACAAGTGGAGTTTTGTTTGGTGTTGTCTCCAGATTTCAGATACATGGGAATATTTGAGGGGTTCAGAAATACCCTTTGCCTTGTTCCCAATCTTAGCTGGTTCAATGTGGAAGTGATTCCTTTCAGGAATGGGATACACATGTCATAGAAACTCTTCTTCCAATGCAAAATTTCCTACCAGCATTTGCTACTTACACATACTAAGAGGTTTCATTATGATGTTTGTATATGTGGATAATAATTTTAAATTTTTGGTCCTTTGTCAAGCTGGAATACTCTTGTATATAATAGATTAGATGTGTTACCTGTCTTATTTTTTTTTAAAGATGATACTTTTAAGCATACAGTGTATTTGTAAGGATGTAACTCCATTGTAACTTGGAGAACATTCACAATGGCTTAGCTTCCTATAACTGCCCTAATAAATTAGATCAAACTAAGTGGCTTCAGTAACACCTTTATGTTAATAGTTCTACCAATGTAAATATGTAAATATCCTAACATATAGATTTTATCCTCTCTCTATTCTGACAGTTAGGTACAGTTTAGTACTTTGGGACCTTTCAATTTTGAAGTCAGTCCCACCTTATTTCCACACAATTATAATCCTATAACTCTCCCCCACCCCAACCTCCAGTGCCCAATTACCCACTTGCCAACTGCTTTTCACGTGGGGTTTCTAAGAATCCTAGTAATATGTTTTCCAAGAATTTCTTCAATGAATCATTAGTAGTCATTTGATTTCAATATTTCTACTTCTTAAGCCTCAATACTACATAGAGAGAGCAGCCTGGTCCTTCCCATTCTCTTGTTCCAACTTTATTTTTTTGGTTTTTGACAGTAGATCTTTCTCCAAAGACATTTAAAATATATTCTTTGTTACCGATTCTGAATATCCTAGATCTGAATGTTCTGATGCTAACCCACAACCACATGTGGAAAATTCCACACCTGAACTAATGTAGTGAGTCAGTTGAGACACAGTTGAATCAAAATTATTGCATAAAACTATATTAGGATGTGAGTGGAATTTGTATGAAACAAAAATAAATTTCATATGTAGATCCCGACCATTTTTCCAATATATTGTAATTATGTATATGTATGTATGCCAAAGTCTGAAAAATTCCAAAATACTTCTAGTCCAAAAATTTTGAGAAGTGGTACTCATACAACTTGCATTCACCTTTTCCAAACATAGTTATGAACTTTGACCACAAACCAGAATGTGAACTGTAGAATACATTGTTAAATATATTTTCAAGTGTGAGACTGTATTTCATTTCTCTAGTCTAATAGCTTTGAGAGTCTAATTGAGAAAGCCAATATTAATTAATAGATATTTGCAATTATGATCTGTAAATTAAAAGGTCTGTGATACTAAAATAACATACACCCACTGAATCTCACTTATTCTTGAAAGCAGAGAAGTACCCACAGGTGTTGCATTTGAGATAGAAGTAAAGTAGCAGAATTGTAGTAGGAGCTTAGAAGACTATACCTAGCCCAGAAGTCTTGAGATGTGCATTATGAAATTGAAAGTCATTTTAGTTAGTCATTGAGTGAAAAAGAAAAAAAGTGATTTGAAATTAGGACACAAAAGTATTAGACTGCTATTCTCTGCAAGGCTTAAGAGGTATAATTTGTGGTTGCAGACTTTCTTCTAAAAGCTAAAGGAGACAATTAGTGATTTAATGCAGTGGTATAAGGGTTGGCAGATTTGTTAATTTTTCTGAATATTTAAAAATCAGTTGCTACTTATATATTGTGAAGTAGATGTGTTTTAAAAGCTACAGTTTCAGAATTTGGACAGATATACACACATGAAAATAGGTAACAGTTCCCACCCTTAACCAATTCATTCCTTTTGCTCTTTTATTTTTCAATAAATCTTTTTCCTATAGTAATTTTTAGCACCATAGAATAATCTGATTTTCTAGAACTTTATAAAAGTGAAATAATGTAGTGTTTCCCTTTTGCATCAAGTTTCTTTGAGATATTATTGAAATGTTTGCTATTGTTGTATGCAATTGATTCATTTTCTTGCTGTCTCTGATTCCCTTTTGCCAATATATCCGATTGTGTTTGTTCTTCCACCTATTGATGGGCTAATGTGCCTCAAAAATTTAAATGAATCAATAAAGCCCCAGAAAATATTGATTGTTCTAGTCTTGTGAATTTAAGCATTTCAATTTTGAGGGGAAAAATAGTAAGAATGATATTTTTGAACTACTGAATTTGTGCATGTTGAATGTCTTCGGAAATTGTCAAAAAGCTTTGCCTAATACTGGATTTAGAGTTGTAAAGTTAGGTTCTGTTATTATTTGTTGTTTTGGTTTGAACTTGGAGCTTTCTGCTGTCAAGACAGGTACACTACTGCTTAAGCCAAGCTTTTAGCTCTTTTCCTCTGTTTATTTTTGAGGTCGACTCTCTTATGTACCCTAAACTGGACTGGATTAAAATTGTTCACTTCCCACCAGAGGTCGAATGGCAGTTATGTGCCATGCCATGGATATGCTTCTTTGTATGTTCAGAAGAGACTTCATAAACTTTCTCCCTGATAGCTTTGAAGCCTGATCCTTCTGCTCTCTGCCTCCTATATGGGTAAGAATATAGCTGTGAACCACTGATGGCTGGCCCTAAAGCTTGTTTTGGAATTGGACTCTCCACTGCAATGCCCTAGGACTGCAGGAGCTCCACATTTGCATGGACATTTAACATTGCCATTTTTATATAAGCAGTAGATGCTAAGTCCCTGTGGTCTTAATTTGATATATTTGCCCAATACTGATTTTCAGTCCTTTCCTTGTGCTTATTTGCATGCTCACACATTCTCTTGCATAATATTTTTATTATTCTACTCTTACTTAAAGAGTTGTTATTGATATAAATATCGAAATGCTTTATATACTCTGTAAGTAGGTCCATTGTCAGATGTATGTACTGTTAATAATTTCCTACATTTTCTGTACTTTCTCATTTCTCAAATACTGACTTTTCTTGAGCAAAAGTTGTCATATTTTATAAAAAAACAATGTTGGCAGTTATTTTTATGGATATTTTCATATTTTATGAGAGCTTAATCTGTTACAGACTAATCTGCTGTCTCATTTTTTCCTGGCAATTTGATAATTTCAACTTTTATATACAGCTTTTACATAGCACATATATTAAGGTAGAAGATACATCATAACATATCTCAGTTTAGTACCTCTTCTTTGTACTTATTTAGTAATTCAAATACATTATAAAGGAATT